CTGTTAGCCATGACCTCCAACCTAAAAGCAATGGCCTCCAACCTAGTCGCGATGGCCTCCAACCTACTAGCGTTGGCCTCAAACCTACTAGCGATGGCCTCCAACCTGATAGCCATGGCCTCCAACCTAATTAAGTAATAGCGATGGCCTCCAACCCAATAGCGATGGCCTCCAACCTAATAGCGGTGGCTTCCAATCTAATAGCAATGACCTCCAACCCAATAACGATGGGCTCCAACCTAGTAGCGCGATGGCCTCCAACCTAATAGCGATGGCTTCCAACCTTTAATAGATTTTCATAGCAGTGGCCGCCACCCCAATAACGATGGGCTCCAACCTAGTAGCGCGATGGCCTCCAACCCAATAGCGATGGCTTCAATCTAATAGCGATGGCGATGGCCTGCAACCTACTAGCAATGGCCTCGTTATGTTTTGCGGCACCCTGAAATGCTATAAGGTTGTCTCGGACAGACACTGTCCAGAAGCTCTTAGAAGACCTCCAGCAGAAGGTGAATAATCATCCGGAGACTTGCCGAAGAGAACTGTGCGAGATCAACGATGTCCATTGGCCCCATCTATTGGACGGACTTCCCGTGGCGGATCCTCCTTAAGGGGTCCGACCCTTGCGACGGACTACACCTCAGTCATGCACTTGTTGCCTAGTAGCGATGCACTTATTACATCTTATTACTAGTAGCCTCAAGAGCTCCAGGCTCCAGGTACTCATGTCCCTCTTTTTGCCCAAAACGACCGTTTGCCCAAATGAACTGCCCGCAGAAACTCCTATTCATGTTCACGTCCGGCCCACAAAAAGAACACAGAACACGCACCATCTGCTTTCCGAAAAAGGAAGCCAAAGGCGTCGTCTATGAACGAGTACGACTTCCTCAGAGTGGAGCTTTGCTTGATGACCAGGCCTTGGGGTCCGATGTCGTCCGGGATTGTCGTTCTGAGACGGAGGACGAGCCACGATTTGTTTTGGCACCAGGAACCCCAGCGCTACGGAGGTTCTCTCTTGCTTGTGGGGATTAGACTTAACACGCCTAACATGCCGCATTGCTCTCCTGAAGATGAAACGGACAGTTTGCTTGCAGGACGTCCTTGGGGTGTCACTGGCAGATGATGAAAGGGATCTGGATGCATTGCCCACTGGGCAGGCTGTGGTCGCCACCAAAGACGAAGATTCCCGGCCGTTTTAATGCTGTTTACTTATTGATTGCAAATAAGGGGGGGCCCCAGCTGCTAAGAAACCAGACTGGAAGGTTTCACTTGGGCTAGTTGGCCTTGGTATGCAGAACGGCCACTCTGGACAACGAAAACAGGTTTGGGCTCAAGTGGTTGTCATGCCGTGCCATGACTTACCATGTTTTTACCCCAGTGTTGCGATGCTGCGACATGCATTTAGCACCGCGAGGCTCCAACATCTTTTATAGCACTTAACAATCCCTAATCCCTTCTCCTCAGATCGACTTCTGCAGCAGAGATTCTCTTTCTTGGGCCTTTCACCCATTCAACAGCTTTGGCAGCTGAAGTAGAACATGCCGGATCGTTGAGAGCACAAAGTTGAGGCTACATGGCCATCATGGGCGATGTGACGATGGCGGGGAACTCTAGGGTTTAGATCTACTGTATATAGCACATGCTGCGTCCTAACAATGCTTGGAATCTCGCTGCGTCGGTATGAGATTGAACCTCCTGATGAAGGCCCAATCCTCACCCCTCCTCCCAACACCCCTTGGGGTAGATCCAGCTGCCCGGCTGTACTTGGGTTGGGATTCCACCGTGGTTTGGACACCCACCAGGCACCTCAACAGGGTGGTCGACAGGGGCGTCGCTTCCCTCAATTTCTCATGCTGCAACGCCCCATGAAGAGTGTCGACACCAACACTGACATACATACAAGATATGGGCTGTTGATTTTGACTGCTCTTCCTCTTGGGAAGAGTTCCATCTGACCCAGGACTGGGTTTTGAGCAGCTGTCTCCAAGCCTTTCTCCCAAAGAATGAGGACTGCCTGGTTTCAAGAAATTTTGGGCAGCTCACGGAATGAAGAGAAATCAACAAAAGAATGCAAAAGATACACCTAACTATTACATGTTTATTTGATGTTATACACTGGGGTGCCGAAAGTTGCGCTTCTTGACTTCTAAAACGGGACAAAACCCTTTCCCCTTAGAATCCTACGTGCAACATGTCGACACCTAAGTTGCGGTCAGACTTCCACACCTGAAAGCCTTATAAGTTATAAGTATTATAAATTACAGTAAACGAGTGTGGAAATCTGACCGTGCTGTACCTGCCAGGCCAAAAATGGACATGTCAATCCGATCCGCTGTAGACCGCAAGTGTCATGTTGGAACAGAGTAAGAAGCGTAAACTTTAGGTTCTTGAAGTATAAATCACTTGTACGGCATATGGTAAGACAACAAAACAGACTTGGTGAAAGAACAGCTATGACAACTCTCCAACTAAATCATTGTAAAAAAAGAGAGCAACCTCAGGACCATTTCAGTAAGGGCTGGCTTTCTCCCCCAAACAGCTATGGCTTCATCCCTTGTTGGGCCTGGACCTGGACATGCCCGGGAGATCCGACAGCCAAGACCCAGCGCCATCGGACGGTTCCTTCGGCAGGATCAGAAGGCACACAACTTGCTCCCTTGCCCCGTGGGCAGCGTGGTGCCAATGCCGATAACGGCGGGACCCGAGCTTGTGGGGCGGGTGTCCAAGACATGGTGTTTGTCCTGTGGCCAGAGTGTGTCAAGGGGATAATGAATGACAAATGACAAGGGTTAGTAATGATACATGAACAACCCGATGCAATGCAACCTGGCTTGCAACCTTTCAAGCTCCAATAAAGCTCCGATGCCGTTTTTGTTAATCGGGGGTCCGCAAAATAGGGGGAACCGCAAAGATGGAAACCTGGGGAAGAGCTTCAAAACCGAAAATTCAATAATCAAGCGGATCGAAGGGTCCTTTTCCCTTTATATATATACATAATATTACATAATCCCGTTATTGTAATAATAAATAGTGATTCTTCGATATTCTTCACGTCTATACTTGCCATCAGACTAACCACTATATATATAGATTTCGAAAGGTGATGTTGCTGTGCTATGCGGTTTTGGAAGATTGGGGAACAGTGCGCATGCATGAGATCCATGCTGTGTGTCGCCAGTGAGGGATATCATTGGTGGGGGGATTCTAGTGGATGGGTACCTAACAGTAATATTCCACCCGAAGTAACCTTGTGCGCGTTTTGGTTTTAGTAGTAAAAAGAAGGCGGTCATTTATGGACAAATGTAACGGGAATTAGGGGTCTTCGACATGCGCTGTTAATTGGGTACGGTGGTGTGGCATCGGGTTCCAGTCTTGACTTCTTTATTTTTGCTGTTTTATGTTTGGTCGCTGGTTGCTGGTCCTTTGCATGCTGGGCCCAGGAGTATCAATTCTATGCCCCTGGCCCTTATAGTTATGAATGATCGATTCTAAGAGAAACAAAAACAACTGAAACCACCGGTCGCCATCGCGCGCTCCCCAGGTACCCAGCTTCATGTGGGTGGTCGTGACGGCAGAGGCTGGCTCCTTTGCGAGGCCATCTCCTCGGGCCTCACCGGCTTTGTGCCGGAATGGGTTTTGGCCCCTCGGTACCCTGGGCGGATCGATGTCGGCCAGTCAGCGGCAAAGGCACAGCTGTGTTCGGGGAAAGTTGAAGTCGCAGCTGGTGGACAGGAAACCACCTCCGATAACTGGTGAAGCAACCTGACCTGCAACCTGACCTTTGACTTCACTTCGGTGGAGAATGTCAAGCATGAAGGCGGCAAGGATTGAGGTGAGCAAAGGTATGGATCCATTCCGAACGACAGGCCACGGCCATGATCGGCTGTGTAAGAGTGGACTTGCTTCAGGCCCAATGGGCGGGTGGGTGTCGGTGTAATTATGAGCGTTTCTCGGTTGATATGATGTTCGTTGTACTTGCAACCAAGATGCTGTTGCTTCTTGCAACAACTTGCTGCAGGAACATTTCAGGGGTTGGGTGGGGGATGTGCTCGGGCTTTGGAGGTTCGAAGGTGGCTTTGTGTTGCTGCATTGCGGCTGATTCAGTGCTGCAGCTTTCTGGGAGAGAGCACATCGATGTTTGTTGCGAAACTCTTTCTTGCTGTAGCCCAACCCATATTGAACCCGACACAACTGAAAGGCAACCTGTCCAAGAGTGACCGTTTTCACCATGCATTCACGCTTGTGCCATGCAATGCCATGCATGTGCCTATCTTGTGCCATCTTGTGCCTATCGTGTTCGTTCGGTTGTTGTGAGTTTAAAGGGTCAAGCCTCCGTTGTTGAATGTCAGTGAGAGTATCGGTTTTCCTGGATTGTGCAGGGAACGGTGGAGTTGATATGATGCGTCAAAACTCCATCTCCACTAATTAAGCAAGGTGGTTTTGCATCGGGACGAGTTTGTGGCCAGGGCGGTTGATCTTCATCCGGATGTTTTGTGTTCCGATGTCCAGTGTCCATGCATTGAAACTGACTTGTGACTTGTGGGAGTGTAAGATGCAGGTATAGGTTTCTTAAAGGTGATGTGAACATGGCTGAAGCATAGGCTGGACGGCCGTGTGTAGGGGGATGCTGGATTTCAAGGTATGGTGCAACGCTCTTCAGGTGCTACAGCTGAACCATGTCCACCATCAGTTTCCCACTTGGAACCAATCGTCCCACCAACCAGCCTGAGATTCGCAATTCGTGCGGATTTGAGGAAAAAGCTGAACCAAATTCGCAGCCAAGCAGCATTGTCGTGCACTCACCGAAGAGCGCGCTGGCCGAACATCGTGCAGAAAGTACGAACAACAGACCAGGCAAGCACATTGGCAAAGTATGCCGGATTGAAGCCATGACTGGTGCCTATGTCGACGCTTGGCTTCACAAGAAGCTGGTCCAGGTCTGCGATTCTAGCCATGTTTGTGTGCAAACCATGGTTTTGGTGGATGCAATTCCCTTTTGATTGGAGGGGCCAAGATTGGAGGATATTGGAGGTGAATCGCTCGGTTACCAGTTGGGATCCACTTAGTGCCTCAGATAGGTGTGGCTTAAGCAGAACTGCAATTTGCAAAACTCCAACGCGGAAGGGTTGTGAGCTAGAACATGTGTGTCTTTCTTTGAGCTGGCGGCTTGAAGCGCTTGAAGCTTTGAGCATGCCATTGCAAGTCATACAATGCGTCACATGTGCGACAGCACCGTGACCCAGGACCGAGTGTCCTTTTACATGCGTGATGGCGCCAAGCACGTCTATGGTGGGGATGGCGGAGTGCATCCTCAGATATGGCACTTGGATGCTTGCCATCGGAATCGTATATCCACACAAGCCAAAAAGAGTGCCAATAATATATGTATATAACAATGGGTTTAGTAGCCCTTTTGATCGAAACTAGGGAAAAAAGATGAAATAGGCCTTTTGCTGGCCATACTTGCTTTTTTCTCGTTTGATTGGCGCGTGTTTTTCTCAATGGATTCACATGTTGCCCTTGACATTCCTACAACCAGACTAGGTTTTGTCTTCCCAAGTGGTGGTCTTCAGGCCGAAGATGAGGTGATCTTGGAAGCTCACCACATTGAGCATCCCCATCGGGAGTTCCTCGCCACTGAGATTTTCTTGACACTTGGATGGCTGATCAATGTGAAAGCTTCACTGGCAACAATCAATCATTCAAATTCCAACCTAGGGTTCTTTTTAACTGGATTTGGCATTTCCACCTTTTCTGCTTTGAGTGGCGCTTCAGGACATCATCGAAACAAAATATCGTCATCAAGGGCTGGACTGGGCCTGGGAAGAAGCGCCCTTTGAAATGGACGCTTGGCAACAGGCCGTGAGACCAAGGAAGGGATTCCGTAGGCAGTGCACGTTGCCTCGATACAACAGGTCTGCCACCTGCTTTGGGACTGGTCCACTTTTCTGAAGAGTTTGCCACAGAAAGCCACTTTTGCTTCGCAAAGCACCTTCCGGACCGGACCCTGCCAAGGCACTCCTTCGGCAAGCGTGGGCGACAGATTAATGAGCTGATCTTCGATGATTCTGTTCTGACTGGCATTCGCCACATGAGGCACGACTGGTGTTCGCTGGGTCGACCCCAGGTGTCTCCGTCCGTCCGACGCATGACTCGAATTACGAGTGTCAGCTCTGAGCGAGACCTACATACAAGCAGTACTGGTCAGTTTGGCATTTTCCACCATGCATCTCGAAGAAAGCCAAGAGTTCAAATTCTATTTGGGTTCCACTCCTGTTGATGGCCCTGGCACTCGGCCCCGCCGGGGCACTCGCTGCGTAGGCAGGGCAACTTTGTGCGGAAAAGGAAGAGCGCGAGGAAAGCATCATCTCCCACGGCCGGTACCACTGCGTTGGTGGTCAAGAACCAAGAGATGGAAACTCCATCTGTGAATTGGAGGTGTGCAAAACCTTTCCCATCAAGAACCCCATGTGTGGATCTATCCTTGAGACCCTTCAGAACAGATGTTTCTTTCAAATGGTCAGACCATCAAACCCGACCCGAGAAGTCGGTTTTTTGCGTTCTCGGGGGGTCTGCGTTGGGAGGGACTTGTGAGACCTGCAACCTCCAAGTAAGACAGTACAATGAAGGGATTTCTCTAGCCTACCATCGGTTTTGGTCAGGGTTGCGTGACACTCTCCTGCACTAAGCTGCAGCTCAGGTAGCCGATGTTGGAATGGAAGGTTGGGACCTGCTAAGAGAGGGCTGTGTGAGGGCAGGTAGTTTGGTAGCTGAAGAGCCGAAGGTTCAGGTCGACATGTGCTGTGGCTCGATGTCAGCTGAGCTTTCTTCATGGCGCTGGGCGAAACCCCTGTCGATCATTGTAGATCAGCAAGCATGAAGTTGCACAGGTTGGGGTATCACACGGCATGAAGATGAATGAAGCATCTCCATGATTCTCCATGTAGTTTGTGCTGTGGCACCCGGTAGTTTCGTGGCCCATGATTCGTGGCAGCGAAGCTAACGGGTGAGGCTCGAATCTCAGGAACACTAGGTGTGGTATCAGGCGTGATTCTTCGACATTCTTCCGCACAATGCCGGTCTTATGTATATAATTACATATATATATATATATACCTATACGATTTGTATACTGTAGGTGGGGGGCCGCATGAATACGTAGGAGAAAGTGTTTGTTTCTGATCATGGATTCCAAGAACGCGTTTCAGGCAGATGATTTGGTCTACAGGAGCCCCACACTGGCCACTTCGCTTGATGCACTGAGAGGCATTAGCGTGACGACCCCATCACAACTTTCGATCTGTCAAAGGGACAGTTTTCAGAAGAATTACCTGGCAACTCGATTGTCAAGAGTGTGAGGCCCCGCTCGTGGCCTTCCCAAGTTGATTTGAAATCTCACCGAGGCTGTGAAAAAGCCAGTCGCAGCCCCAAAAAAGCGCGCCAATCCATGTGGTCCAGTGCTTCCTCAGCCCAAAAACGAGCGAACTTGGGTGCATGACCTGCGGGATACCCTACTTAAACAAACACGATGTTATAGTATTGTATATATCTATATATACTAAATACACGGAGGCAGACGGAGGTTGTAACGTCCTCTTTGTTTGAAGAACGACCTGCTTAGCTTTACGGTCTTTACGGCATGCTGAGCTTGCCATCGTATGCCTCCTGTCGACACTGGTGAGGTCAGAGTGCTCTGAGATCAAGGTGTTTTGCACTTTGCGTTCTATCGCTGAAGATGCCGTACACACCCAAATAAACAAGTACTGTAGACCCTCGAATTACCCACACTCTACGTACAAAACCGGATAGTACATGTATACAGTAGTATATACCTACTGTATAACATGTCCTGGGAGCTGTCTCTATCTTGTCTCTATTTGGAAGCTGGAAAACCCATGATCGGCTCACTGGTGGTGACGGTTCCGCTGAGGCAGGTGATGTCATGGAAGACTGGTGGCAGCTCATGGCGCCCGATTCCATGCAGGCGCGGGTGAGGTGGCCTCGCTTCGTGGGCACCGGCAGCGCCATCGAAACGGCGAAAGTCCCCAGTGGAGGACCACGCTTCTAAGCACTCCATAAGAAGCTCGATCAAGACAGAGTCAATCAGAGTCACTTGTTGGGTATTTTTTGGTAGTGTTCATCTTACTTCAAGAAAGGGTCATGAATCCACCTCTAGAGCTGAAGCCGGCCATTTGTATTGCGCAAGTCGGGGCTGGTCATATCCCTGTCAGTCAGCTCAATCAACGAGCCTTTGGACGCGGAGGAAGGGGCTCGAGTCTTTCATCCTTTGCAGGTGGGCTTGGTGCAATGGAATGATGCTTGCAGGAGAAAGTAGCAGTGATTTTTCATCACCCAGATTTTGATCACTGAAATCGGAGATGTTCGCGAGTGTGTGCAATTCTCTTTGAGATCGACAAAATGATGCTGTTTACATTGTTTAGCTGCCATTCTTAGAACCTGGCTGGTTGGCATCGATATCAACAGCTCCTTATACATGCAAACTGTTTGCCAGCATCAGGAACATCATAGGTGGAGAGTGAGCCTAGGGTGAACGCGCCTAGGGCCCAGGGTGGGGTCAGCATTGATGAGCAATGCGTATTTTTGATGATTTGCCGATTTGCGCTTATTTGTCGTATATATATATATATTTGCCTCTTAGATGTCCTTTATTTTACACCCGGCTCGTTTTGCATAGGCTCATGTTGCAGTTATGAGAACAAACCACAGCATGTGGATGAATTTGTGCAAGATTTGCTTTGAGAACGCCAGGTTCTCCATTCAATCGCCCCTACCTCTCCCGAAGACCGTCAATTTGCGCTGCAGGAGCCTAGGCTTCCATGGGGATGCAGCTTTGACCTACCAACTCCTCGAAGAGGAGAGATGGGACTGGACTGCTTTTTGCCTTCGACCCTCCGCAAAACCTACAAAGCCTTCAAGCTGCAACACCTCTCGGAGTAGCATGTAGCAGTTTGCTGTAGCAGCTGGTGTGATCAAATTTGTCAACTTGTTGGACTCCTAGACCAGTACTGTAGACGAAGGGTGGAGCTCCAGAAACACAGACTCATCAACGACATCAACCAACTCTGACGGGATTTCAATCTTGCGTGGGACGATATCTTGCTGCAGGGTTTGGTCAGGTCATAGGGTTTCAGACGAATAGACTAATTGCATTGATAAATGCTGATGAATGATGGAAGAGTCCTCCAGCAAGAATTTATGTCTTGATTGATTCATGTGAATTCAGACACCAAGATTCAGATGCCACACGCATTTCATGGATGCTACAATGAATGGTATTTTAGTTGACATGTAAATCTGTCATAATTTGCCCGCGTCAAGGAGGGAAAGACGATCAATTGGACTGATTTTCAGCGAATCAAGCAGTTCTGGTGCGAATGAACTTATTGCGAAAAAATCGATAGTATCTTCAAAGCATGGACATATAGACGACATATAAATATAAAATAATTAATGCATTCAAAAGTTGTATACTATATAGTGATCCCCTGACAACTCCTGTCAAACATCCAGACAAACAAAGGCCAAACCACACTGTCGAAAACACACAAGACGGACACATTCAAAATGTTGAACGTCAATGTTGCGCAAAATCGATTTTGGGATTGCCGAGTGTTGTTCGAACATTTTGGACATGTTGTATCTGAGGGTACTGTTATGTACCATTGGCAGATGATCCTTCAACTCCACCTTCGGTCATCAAAAGGAACTGGAGGCACCAATTAGAAAGGTGGAACTGGCAAGGAACAGGAAATTGGTGTCACGTTCTTATCACATTCGGTGAGAATTGATTTCCCTGCGCAATATTGATTGCGTGTGATCAGTGTGGTTGTATGATTGGATGAGTTTATATATCCACCTGTCAGGTGAGGGTTGTTAGATTTTATGTCAGCTGCCTGACGTGCAGCTGTGGAGGTGGCTGTAGAGGTCAAGACTTTTAGTACTAAACTTTTCCCAGGTCTCACAGAGTGGTTTTTTGGTGAGTATAACAGCCTGTTTGAGTGAGATTGTCAGTTACCGCAGAATTCAATCGGAGGCTTTGCCTTTCACAGCACATCGTCAAACAGATCTTCTTTCCCACAGAAGCTAAAAGGGGCGTCGCGAAAATTGCGATTTTTTGAACAATCCAAGTACCTCTCCTGTATACAGGATCTTTGCAAACCCTTAATCAAATATTGTGCAAATACCAGCAGTGGTCATGATCTTCATGGTGATTGCTTTTTGTGTGTGTTTTTTTGATGTTTTTGGTGGTTCTGCTGATCCTGCTCTTCGATGATCATTGTCTTGAAGATCATGATCTTGATGATGGTGATTGTGGTGATCATGATCTTGATGGCCATGATCTTGGTGATCATGATCTTGATGATCATGATATTGATGATCATTGTGTGCAGGGCTTGGTTTGAAATCTGTGTCCAAAGCGCTTTGGTTCACCAAATCTGTGGGTTGGTTGACCTATTCACTCAATCTGTGTCCATGCCTTTGGCTCACAAAATCTGTGCACCAATTCACCCAAAATCTGTGTCCAAAGGGCGTTGGTGCACCAAACTGTGTCCAAAAGCGCTTTGGTTCACCAAATCTGTTGCCACTTGTTGCCCTAACTGCACCAACACTGGTCCAACTCCACTAGCTTTGTCTCACACCTGGGTCAAAGCCACATGTTGCTTTTTGTCACCACACCTCCATCAAACCTTTGTCACCACACACTTTGGCCCAAATCAGTGCAAAAGGCTTTGGTTGACCCATCGGTGTCCAATGGGTCCAAAGGCCACACCTGTCCAAGAGCCACACCTTACTCCTCACTCACTCACACACTCACTCACTCACTCACTCACCCACGCACTCACCCACTCACTTACTCACTCCCTCACCTCACCTCACCTCACCAGATCTGTGTTGAAAGGCCCATTGTTCAGGTTGTGTGTGCTGCTGCGTTGAAGTGGCTGCTGTGCATGTGTGTTTGGGATTGCTCAAGCTCAACTAACACCAACTCTTATGATCATCATCTCTAACTTTTCAACATCAACGCCCCCAGCTTCAACAACACCAACTTTTATCTACATGCACGAACATCAGTTTCAGCAGTATCAACATCAGCCTCAACATCACCAACTCTCAACCCACCAGTTTCCAAAGCACCAACTCTTGGTACCATCAATTTCACCAACATCAGTTCCTACCATCAACAACTCCAACACCACCACCTTCAAATAGAAAACAACATATTCCACTGTATTAACACGAACGCGGAGCTGAAACCTCCAGCCCTCCTCATGTAATGGCCTGTCATGGTCAACTCAGAGTGGTTTCTGGTTCAAATCAGTCTTCAAAGACTCATAGCGCACATATTGCGAAGGCAAAACGACAGTACTCTTCAGAATGCCAACAGTGGTCTCAAATATTAACTCTTACTGAATTTGGAGGATGACAACGAACCGGCTTTTGGGAATTGTCTACCGGACTTCTTCCAACCCACGGTCCCACTGCTGAGTTTGTGATGACGCCGGAACAGCCGGCGTACATTGCAGGCACATGAGTGGTTGCTTGCCACTTTCTGCAGTGGATCGGGCTGCTGTTTGCACCTAAGACATGCCCAGTTGGTCACAGTTGGCGCCCTCAGAAGCACAACCAAAAGGAAGTCGAAGAAGACGACCTTGAAGAGCCAACAATAATTCCAAGGGTGCAACTGGGTCTGCAATTTACGACCTGCCAGCCCCAATGAGGTTGGCAGGTTGGCAGGCCATGAGACCTCAAAAAACTGGCCGCGAAAGAGAAACAATGCCTGGAAAAGAAAACCTGGATGGCACTTTGTCCTATGGCACAGTTCTTTCCCCGATCGGTAATGTAGACCTGTGATTAATAAACCACCCTAGAATAATGTCTTTTTTCCTGCGCTGATTAATAAAGGCCCCCAGAATAATGTCTTTTTATTTGGCAGGGATAGTTGTAGTGGAATATGTTTATTGTTATAGTTTATTTTTTTCCCTTTTGAGTTTGCTGGGATTTAAAGCTCAAAACATATTTTGCTTTAAGTAAACTTGTATTCATTCCCTTTCTTTTCCTTTTGATTTGCTTTACTTTAAGCTTTCCAAAAGTTTCCAAAAGTCAGTGCACACTTTCTTTACAAAATCCCTTATTTAAAAATATTGAAAAACAAGCAAAGGGGGTAGTCCAGCAAGCAGCTTTCTGACATTATTTAGGGGGGGCCCTAGAATAATGTCTAGCGATTTCAAGCTTAAAACATATTTTGCTTTAAGTAAACTTGTACTCATTCGCTTCGTTTTCCTTTTGATTTGCTTTACTTACCTAAGCTCTTTAGTCTTTAAGCTTTCCAAAAGTTTCCAAAAGTCAGTGCACACTTTCTTTTCAAAATCCCTTATTCAAAAATATAGAAAAACAAAAAATCATTCAAGCAAAGGGGGTAGTCCAGTAAGCAGCTTTCTGACATTATTTAGGGGGTGCCCCTAGAATAATTTCTAGCGATTTCAAGCTTAAAACATATTTTGCTTAAAAGTCAGTGCACACTTTCTTTACAAAATCCCTTGGTCAAAAATATTGAAAACAAAAAATCATTCATGCAATGGGGGTAGTGCAGCCAGCAGCGTTCTGACATTATTTAGGGGGGGCCTAGAATAATGTCTAGAGAGTTCAAGCCTAAAATATTTTTTGTGTTAAGTAACTTTGGATGCATTCCCTTTCTGTTCCTTTTACCTTGCTTTACT